TTGAATTTTTCAAATTTATCGCAACCAACTAATGCCCCGAATTACGAGAAAGTACTTGAATTATTGTCTGATGACTATGCAGGTCAATATACTATAAATTGTATAACGTTCATTACATTTCTAAGTTTAATAGATTTTAATTTGAACTTTATTCAACAGACTCAGGTTTAATCGACTTAGATAATTCTAACCTTTTGAGTATGTTAAAAATTGTTTATTTTTAATCGTAATCAATGGCCTTAACTTATTTCATAACTATAATCAAATATTTTAGAAAACCACTTCGGTCCATAAGGTGTTTAATCATAACTTAATTTATTATTTAAACATAATATAACTCGAAACAAGAAATTATTTGTAATAGTTCACTGAGTTTAATTTGGATTTATAAATTTGATTTCAATTAGTGAGATTGATTTTATTTTTCTGTCTTCTAGTATTTCATCAATTAAAAACTTGAGACTTTATTATAAAATTTTAAATAATAATTCAGGAAATATTGATAAGATTTCAAAGTTAAAATTATGGTCCAGAGAAAATATTTTATTAAAAAGTTTTTCTTTCCACATATACTTTATATAAACAATACCCGTTAAAGATTACAATAAATTTTCAGAATTTGTCTTTCTATGGTAGATATTTATTGCCGTTCTCCGAACATATTTGATTGCAGTGATGAAAAAACAACCAAAACAATTCGTAAAGGATTCCACAATCTTAATATTGTGCCTGTACATATTTATTCAGATTAACTTTAAAAGTTCGAACGATTCATCTTATTCATTGATCTCAGTCCGGCTACACTTGCAAGTTCCAAATGTCATTAAAAATTTTGAAAAAATAGTTAAATAAAATCGAAGTTTGAATAAAGAAGAAATCAGAAGTAAGAGGCTATTATTACTAGTACTGTAGTAATAGAAATAATTTTTTAAATATAATAGTATCAATATTATTTTAATAGTAATAATAACGATGACGACAGTTAGTGATCGGTAGAGGAAATTAGAGCTCGAGATGTATTCTCCTTTTAACGCCCATTACTGTACCGTGATCCCCCAATAGAAGAATAATAAACGTATACCAAAAAACTTTATCAAAATACGCAATTAGTACAAATATTAACATATTTATTTTTTGTCGAGGATGTGTATGCTAAATATATTAGAATATAACATCTATTTGAAATCCCCCTGCAGTTTTCGAATTTTTTTTATTTTTTTATTTTTTGATTCACTGCGAATGTCAATAATAGTTATACTATTTACATACCTGGAAATATATTTATACAGTATTATCTTTCGGGTTCAAATTTTCTACTATGCTCGGCATTATCTTTCAAAAGTTCTATTGCCCATTCTAACTTAAAATTCTATGTACTCATACCTCGATAGAATAATATGGCATCTAATCATAAAATATTATAAATACGTCAGTTACGTATTTTTCATTGAAACATTTTTATACTTTAAACAAGAACACTCGAACATTAGTAATGTTATCCGGTACCGCAGAAATCATGGTATTTGAAATTTTAAATAATACAATTTTATAATATTTTTTTAATAAGTTTCCAGGTCTTTTGCGTCGTTTTAGGTGAAGCCATCGAGAACTCTTTCCCTGTTGATATCAGAAGTGACATGACCGTCGGGCACCTCAAAAAGTTGATCAAGGAGGAGGCGGAGTTTGACATTCCCGCAAACAAACTGATGTTATGGAAAGTTAGTATTACTCAAAGCAAAGAAAACCAGAAAATGAAAATACCTGTCGAAATTAACATTAAAGAAGAACTCAGAGGTGAAGAGATGTCTTCATTCGAAATTATAAGTGACCATTTTGATAAATCTAGTACTTGCATCCGCCTCATCGTGCAACCACCACTGGTAAGTGTTTTTCGACGTTTTACCTTTTGAATGAATTTACAGTTGTTTTGTTATTTTACTTTTTTTATTTGATTAGCAAAAAGAAAAGAGGAAAGGGACGAGGAAAGTGGGAACCGAAAAAAGAGAGACGAACATGTATATAATATATTGCTTGTAATTTTAACCCATAATCTTGTTTGTTTTCAAAAATTCACCTTTTCTTCTTATAATTTATCTGATATTAAAGATCCTGATGAATCAGAAGAGGGTCGGGACAGTCTTACGACTATCTCATCTGAAAGGATGAAGTGGATCACTGAGTTTGTGGAAAATAACCATATTAGCCTTTTGCGCAGTCCTCCATCATCAGGCAAGAGTACTCTAGGACAGGTGCTCCGAGACTATTTTGAGAGTCTCAATTATGATAGCATATACATTAGTCTTGCTGATATAAATGGTGGAGCAGAAATCTACGATAAGAACCTCTTTGAAAATTTCTGGAAAAAGAAAGTTGGTAGAACCTGGATAGAAATCAGTGAATGCAAAAAGGATACTTATGTGTTTATATATGAGATACAGATTATCTATGGTAATCGCGCTCCATTCTTTTGGGGAGAGTGAAAAATCTTTTGTCAAGCGAATCAAATCTTCAAAATATTCGGATAGTTTTGATCGGCGCATATCATCTGATACTTGATCCTCAAGTGACACCCATGGAAATTCGCCATACACTTGGTTTGAATACCCTACTTCTAACGTGGGAAGAAGTCCATCACCTTATAACGAGCTATATTCTGAGACACGCTACTTTGGGTAGCCCGAATTTTAAAATTCATGAACCTATTCAGAAGGCAATCTTTAATCTCACTGGTGGACATCCTGGTTTGTGTAGATTCATTTTGACCACATTGCGCAATCAATTTCGTGAAAATGGAAAAACAATGGAAATATTGCGATATCTTGCTTCATCACATCTACAAGAATGCATAATAGCAACTGCACGTGCTTTCCACTGGATTCGTGATTGGAATATAACTGATGAAGAATCCGAATTTATTCGAAAAAAGCTACTCTATAAAATCGACATTCCCTTCACTGCTGACTATTTCATAAATCCTGTTATTAAGAAATTTATTAAGATGGGTCTCTTCTCCACGGTTGATTCTAATGAACAATTAAATTTTTTCGCCCCTAAAATCCGAGTTATTCTGAGTCGTTTCCTATTCACTACCCCTGTAAATTTTAATCCGTTACCTGTAAAAACTTTTGACGAGTTTTTGGTAAGAACCATCGGGCGCATGAGCCCCTCTAAGTTTTTTGAATCGATTGGAAAGGGATTTGGCGATAATCCACATTTATACGAGAGAAGTTGGCAAATGGAATGGTACCGTACTGCTACAACCGTAGTCCCAGAAGGTACATCAATAAGTGCTGATGTTGGTGCCGTGTTTAGCTCTGTTGGATTTCTGGATTTCTATGTTAGCGGAAAACTTTGCTGGGGAATTGAACTTACGCGCGAGGGTGATCGTTTGAAGGAGCATGCAAAACGATTCGAACAAG